GCATGTCCATGCCTCAGTTTCCCCACTTGTCCAAAAGGGCTACAAGACCAATCTTAACTGTTACTAGGATGCCCTGAGGAGGAAAACAGGAGAAGGTGAGATAATTTCATGGGAAGGGCTACAGGAGTTTTCAGCTCCATGCCGAGGTGAAACAGGATGGGGTGAGCATCCTGCTCTACTTTGCAAGAACACTTGTTCATTTTATTGGTAAGAAGACCAAAGGGGCTTGGCTGAGAGAAAGCTGACTAAAGTAGATGCAGAATCTGTGACCAGCACAAGGACCAGCTCTAGGCCTGAAACTCACATGGATTCTCCCCGCACAGTTCCTGGAGGCAGCCTTGAGCTGGTGCAGCTCAGCCCATCTTGACTCTTGTTCTCTACCAGCAGCACCAAGAGACCCTTAGAGAACACCCCCACTCACTGAACACCCCCTAGCATTCTTGGGGAGCATAAGATGCTAAGCCTTTGGGAGGCCTGACATTGGACTGGGAAGGAGACAAACGAGGTCAGGGTTTCTATCTTTTAAACTGCCCTGGGCAGCAACCCCGTGACAGGACACCCTCTCCAGTCCACTGAGAGTGTCAGCATAGCACTCCTATTCCACCTGGATGTCATGGACTCTGTCTGGTGTTCTGCACACAGAAAATAGGCAGTGAGGACTGGGCGCTGTGGCTCATGCCTGTTATCCCAGCGCTTTGGGAGGCCAAGGTGGATGGATCATGAAGTCAGGAGTTCGAGACCAGCCTGGCCAAGATGGTGAAACCCCATCTCTACTAAAAATACTAAAAATAAGCTGGGCTTGGTGGTCGATGGCTGTAGTCCCACCCATTCAGGAGGCTGAGGCAAGAGAATTGCTTGAACCCCAGAGGTGGAGGTTGCAGTGAGCTGAGACCGTGCCACTGCACTCTAGCCTAGGATACAGGGCAAGACTCTGTCTCCAAAAAAAAAAAAAAAAAGAAAAAAAGAAAACAAAGCAAGCAGTGAGTTATTAGCTTCCCTCTCTTCGGGCAAGCTTCCCCTGACCTCTGCAGGCTGAAATCAGGGGCTTCCCTCTGCTTCCATGAGAGTAACATACACTAGAAGTCACCTTCCCAGAGGTAGAGGTGAACCCTGCTCCTGCATGGCGCACCAGAGGACAATGACTTTGATCTTCATTGTGTGACTACATGATGGGGCCAGTCCTTCACCCCACTCTGCCATGGTTTGTTTGGTCCCACCAAGTCTCATGTTGAAGTGACCCTGGTGGGTTGGATAAAGGGGGTGGATGCCTGAAAAATAGTTTGGGGCCATTCTTGCAAGAGTGAGCGAATTTTCACTCGTTCCCAAAAGAACTGGCTGTTGAAAAGAGCCTGGTACCTCCTCCCCTATCTCTTTTGCTTTCTCTCTTTCCATGTGAGCTGCATATACCCCTCCTCTTGCCTTCCACCAAGAATGGAAGCTTCCTGAGGCCCTCACCAGAAGCAGATACTGGCACCAAGCTTCTCATACAGCCTGCAGAACCAGAAGCCCAAATAAACCTCTTTTCTTCACAAATCACCCAGCCTCAGGTATTCCTTGAAGGCAATACAAATGGACTAAGACACACACTGCATTCAGGTATTCAGGGGTTTTACCATGTGACTTTGCATTTTTTTCCTCTAAAAAGGTAGAGTGCATTTCCTAACTCCCTAACATTGAGTTTGTGTGTGTGATTTTCTTTGGCCAAGAAAATGAAGGTATGCCTTTCTGGGTGCCCAGGACTAAGAGGTCTTTGTGCTTCCACTTGCTTTGCTGCCTTTCTGCCATCACCATGAGAATATGCCAGGCTGGCCTGCTGGTCCAGGGGACGAGCAAGAGGTACTGGCTCCAGGTAGGCCCCGTCTGGATTAGCCAACCCATGCATGCTGAGAGATCTCAGCCAGAGCAGCAGAGCTGCCCATCTGAGCCTCAGACTCAGTTAGATGAGCTGCTCCCTAGCTGACCCACAAGTGCATGAGCTATATAAATGTGTACTGTATGCATATTTATTGTGTATCATGAGATTTAGGAGCTGGCTGTTACACAGCATTTACATAGCAAAAGCTCCCTGATATATTTAATAATGTCTATTCCAGCATTTGGCATCTATAAGTTGTTATATGAAATGACTTGGTGAATAATTGTGAATTGAAGATAAGATCAGATCCTATTTTATCTTCACAATAATGCTCTAAGATGGTCAGGAATAATTCATCTAAAATTATGGAAAAAGAATCTGAGGCCCATAGGGGTTACGTCACTGCTTAAGATCACACAGTGAGAAAATGTCAAGGCCACTGTTTGACTCCAGGCTCTGTGCCTCCAAGGCCGGTGGTCTTTTCAGCCTGTCTGACCATGACAGCACTGACCCACGGTTCTGTGAAAGGCACTCTGGCCTATGTGCTGGATCTTCACAAAGAAGCCCACTAGGAGCCAAACGACTCTGATCTGTCTGCTCGTGGCCAATGTGAGCATCAATGCAAAGGCCAAAACCTTTAAAGAGAACAAGGAAATAGAGCCTGGGACCATTTACTTCCCCAGGCCAGATGCCAAGTGTGGTGAGGTTTGGGTTGAAGGGAAGAGGCAGATTTTTTTTTCGTTTCTTAATATTGTGTTGTAATACTTTCAAGTTTGTTAGCACCTATTAAAAAACTGAAATTAGAACTGTAAGAACAGCAGACTCAGTTGGGAGAACAGGGCTTGCATTGCTACTGGGGGTTGAGTGATTCCTGCACGTGACATTGTGCTTTGAGAAGTCCCTCTCTGTCCCTTAAGCCATTTAATAGAGATGACCCCTTCCTTCAGCTGCCCTCTTCGATCGATCTTTCCCAGGGGTTTTTGCCTCTTTTAGGTCTAAAATAGCTTGTTGGGATGGGTTCCATAAATCTTCATGAAACTCTGTTTCACAAATCCCTGTCCCGCTCCCTGGATCAAACCTTCCTGAGTTTTCCATGAGCTCTAACCTCCTTAGCTACCCCCTTCCTTCCTAAGATGTCTACGAGGTCTCATGACCATAAAGGCACAGAGTTGTGTGAAAGGTCGTTAAGTCCACGCCCTGGGTTCCGCAGCCCCCCTCCAAGGTCACCATGTTGGCCGAGCACTAATTAGATGCCAAGTGTGTGGATGCCTAGACATGCCCTTGCCTCTGGGCATGTCTTATCAAAGACAGGCATCGCTCCTATTTTTAAAACTCACCAGAGAATTTCCCATTCCAGGAGTACCCAATTTCATTGCCATCTCCTAGGCCTAATTTTAATCTACTTCTTTCTATCTCTAAGTCATCATTCAGCCTGACTCACTCACTCACTCACTCATTCAACAAATACCTAGTAACTACAGTCGTGTGTTACTTAACGACAGGGATGCATTATGAGAAATGCATCATTAGGTGATTTCTTCATACAGCCATCATAGAATGTACTTACACAAACCTAGATACTGTAGCCCACTACACTCCCAAGCTATATGGTATGGTCTAGGGCTCCCAGGCTACAAACCTGCACAACTGTGACTGTACTGAATGCTGCAGGCAATTGGAACACCATGGTAGGTATTTGCATATTGAAACACATGCAAACATAGAAAAGGGACAAGAAAAATGTGGCATTATCATCTGTGGGACCACCATGGTACATGTTGTCCATTGCGACCAAAATGTCACTGTGCCTACGTCACTGTACTTCCATCTAGCCAGGCTCCATTACAGTGAAGCGTGGCAAGGATGTGGCTGTCTTAGAGAGATGCAAAGTGGCACAGAGGTTAAAAGTATAAACTGTAAAGCTGTACGGCCTGGGTTCCAATCCTGGTCCTCTGCTCACTGGCTGTGTGACCCTGGGCTATTTGCCTAACCTTTCTGGGCTTCGGTTTTATCATCTGTAAAATGGAGATACTGGTAGTAGCTGCCTCAGGAAATTGTGGTGAGCATCACAAGGGCTGCCTCGTGTGGCTTTTAAAAATAAAATAATGTGTATAGTGGGGCTAGGACGCATTAAAAGCCACACAATCCACTGGGCGCAGTGGCTCATGCCTGTAATTCCAGCACTTTGGGAGGCTGGGGTGGGCAGATCACAAGGTCAGAAGTTTGAGAACAGCCTGGCTAATATGGTGAAACCCTGTCTCTACTAAAATACAAAAATTAGTGAGGCATGGTGGCAGGCGCCTGTAATCCCAACTACTCAGAAGGCTAAGGCAGGAGAATCACTTGAACCCGGGCGGTGAGGTTGCAGTGAGCAGAGATTGCACCACTGTACTCCTGCCTCAAAACACACACACACACAAACACACACACACACACACACACACACACACACACACACTCCTAGTCTCCCGAGAACTAGCCTTTTAACAAATGTACACAAGCAGATATTCTTGGCCTGCCCACAGAGAAGAACATCCAACTCAGTGGAGAATGGCCATAGAAAGGTTTGCGTCCATCACACATGCAGGAGGGGCCAGAACTGCAGACAGGAAGCAGAAAGGATGAGCTCTGACTCAGGAAGTGGCCAGGGGGTGGACAGAGCACCAGACCGGGAACCAGGAGTCCCGGGGTCTAGTTCCACTCTGCAGCAGCCTAGACGTTTGCCCTTAAACAAGACCCCCACATCCCAACTCCATATCCCATTCCAGCCTGGGCTTCAGTTTCCTCATCTGAAAAATGAGGTGGTAGATCAGCTTAAAGACGCTTCCAAACGATTCTTGGATCCTAACCCCAGGCAGCTTTCAGCAATGGTAGCACTGGGAGTCAGGCCACCGGAGGGCTGCAGACATCACTAAGTGACAGCCCAGTGCCTCCACACAGCCCCCTCCCTGCTGTCTACAGCTCACTGCTTCCCAAACCTCATCCCCTGCAACTGCACCCAGCATCTCTCTACCTCCTCTTCTGAGCTGGGACTGCAGCGGGAGACGGCTGGACTCTAGGAGGGTGTGTTGCCCAGGGGTTGGCCCACAGAGGGGCAAAGTGCAGAGGCCAAAGGGCACCAGGAGGAGCTCTGGCGGGTACTTACCGCAGGCCCAGTGAAGGGCACATGGTCACAGTTCTCCTGCCAGGACTGGTTGAGGCTCTGGGCAAACTCTTGGAAGAAAGCATGGGATTGGTTGAAAATGGAAAATCCCAGGATGTTGACACGATCATCCACAAGGCTGTCCATTCTCTGGAGTGAGAACTCCTGGAAAGACCCAGTATCAGAAATAGAGAACATAGTTAGGAAGGGGTGAAGTGAAGGATGGACTTTGGTAGAGCACATCCGGGTACCTCATTCTAGTCCAGTGAACACCAGACACTCTGTTGGGACCTACGGGTCCAGAGATAACAAGAGCAGTTTTCCTGGGAGTTAGCGAGTGTCATGGTCGAGGATGGAGGACAAAAAAATAGGTAGAATGATCACTAAACAAGGTATATACAAGATACACTAGCTGGAGAGAGAAAGAAAAAAACCCATGTGCCTAGTGGAGGCAGCACTAGGCACATGGGGTTTTTCCCATGGGAAGTGGGACGCTTGAGCTGAGTCTTTAAGGATGTATGGGCATTTTCTGGGTGGAGAATTGTGGGTGATCAAAGGCTACTCCAACCAGAAATCCCCACGTATACAAGGGCCCAGAGTTGAGAAAGTGCCTGGCCCTTAACAGTACTGCCCGTGGGGTTCTTATACTTTGATGAAGACATCTCTTCTTAAAGTATGATTCTACTGTCAGCATCATCCAGGTTCCTTTTTAAAAAATGACGAGGCCGAGCATGGTGGCTCACACCTATAATCCCAGCACTTTGGGAGGCCGAGGCGGGTGAATCACTTGAGGTCAGGAGTTCAAGACCAGCCTGATCAACATGGTGAAACCCCATCTCTACTGAAAAACAAAATTAGGCAGACGTGGTGCACATGCCTGTAATCCCAGCTACTCGGGACGCTGAGGCAGGAGAATCGCTTGAACCCAGGAGGTGGAGGTTGCAGTGAGCCAAGATCACGCCATTGCACTCCAACCTGGGCAAGAAGAGTGAAACTCTGTCTCAAAAAAAAAAAAAAATGATTCCTGAACCCCATCTAACACCACCTGAATCCAAGCTTGCATTTCCAGCAGGACCCCAAGTCTTACATACTTGAAGTGTAGGTTAGCACACAGGATACAAGGGGGCCTGGGAGAGGGATAATGAGAAATGAAGCTGGGACAGTCAGTAGAGGCCAGGCCCTAAGGGCCAGGATGCCAGGCTCGGGAACATGCCCTTTGTCTTCTGCATGATGAGACCCAAGGGAACTGTCAGCGGAGGAATGCCAACAACAAGCTTGCTTTCCAAGAACCTCAATCTGAAGGTTTGCAGGTAGGGTGGTGCCTTCATTTGCCACTAAGTTTTTCATTCGCTTAATAAACATTTAAGCATTTGTCACGTGCCAGTCATGGTTCTATGCATGGAGGATGGATGAGAGAGACACACAGCCTAGCTGCTCTCAGGGATCTTGCAGTTAGTAGAAGAGACAGATAGTAAGGAAACAAATTTATCATCATTTCGTATAGTTATGGAGGTGGAAGTGGGGGTGAGGGGCTGCTGCTTTAGATGAGGCAGTCAGGGAAACCCCATCTAAGGCAGTGACATTTAGTAGCGCAAAGGAGTTCTCCCAGCAACCCATGGTCCTCATCCAATCACCCGGGTGGGGCCAAGCTTGCAGGTGTGAGCGCCACAGAGGCCAGTTAGTGTTATAGCGAGGGGCAGTGTCCTCTCTGAGCGCAGAGCTCTGGCCCCCAAGGTCTCCCTGGCCCCTGTACAGCGAAGCGAGTCAAGAAAGTGTAGATTGTACACTTTCTTGTGTACAAGATTGTAGATCACTGATCCCCACTCCCGGAAAGATGCCTTCAAATATGTGTCAGGCCATCTTTTCACACCAAAGTCACATTCATCATATGGCCATTCCAAGTGCATCACACACAGCTCCACACCCTGGGGGGTACACAGGACTTTCAGACCTCAGGACCAGCCTGTCAGCCACTCAGCCTGACGTGACAGATGGCAAGTGCCTTGGGCTTTCCTTCTGGCCAGGCAGAAAGATTGCTTTCCTCCATGCAGTCTCCTCTTCTGAAGACTTAGCTGCTGTAGGCCCCTGGTGCCACCCTTGTATGCCACAGACACTGCCAAGGCCTCAGGGTGCAGGCCTGAGCTCACCTGCCCAGAGGCTGGTTTCATTAGCTTTTGCGTGCAAATTGGAGGTACCAAGCTTCCTCTGAAGCCACCAATACCTGACAGAGTAGATTTGGATAAAGATTAAGTGTATTTTTGGATCCTGTCACATTCCTATTAGGGGGAACAAGGACATGCCAGAGAATGTATTGATTCCTAAGCTGATATTATCTCCTATCTCTCTAAGAGGGCAGCTGCCCATGTGCTGTGGGCTATTGGTAGGCATGAGGGGGCAGATGGCTAATGAGAAGAAGATGCAGTTGGCAAGAGTGTACTGACTGGGGCAGAGCCAGACTGTTGTGGGCAAACCAAGGGGCCTGGCTGGGCATGGTTGGCAGGGGCTGAAAAATGTCCTCTTTTCCCTGGCTTCCTTAACAGTGTGGGCAGACACAGCAGCCCAACTCCATCCTCTCCCCACACGCATAACCTGATGGATGCAGGCTCATTTTAAGGAAGCCCTGAGGCCCTGGTTGTCCACAGATTCACAGTGGCAGCTGGGGTGATACAGTGGTTTCAGGCTTTGGTATTTCAGGTTCCTTACCATACTAGCTATATGACTAAGCAAGGTCTGTAACCTTCTGGGCTTCAAATCCCCATTTTTTAAAAAGAAACAATACTAGCAACCCTATAGCTTATTTCAAACCGGTTTCTGCTGCCCACCCATCTCGAGCCCACCTAAGAATGCACATCTGGCTCACTTAGGTTCCCATTGTGCCTCCCCAACCTCACCCCAGCCACACTGCCTGGTTGGCTGTAACCTTCATACAATGACAGAAGGGGCTGGGAGCAGTCCTTTGGGTGGAACAGATTCTCATGGGGACCTTGATTGTCTTCTTAGAAATGTGCCAGGAAGGGATATCCTGAGGGTCCCTGCTCCCAACAGGAGTCCACTCACATTGTCCCAAATCAGGGAACCAGAATGAAAACAGAGCAAATGGGACCTGGTAAAGCCACATGGTGGGGCAGAGACCAGGATCAGGTCTTCCACTACTCCAAGTGTGTGTGGCTTTGTGATGGCCCCCGTGTTGCATTCTTTGTTCACACACATGGCCTCTCTCTCCAGGGGGCTGGAGATGCATGCAAAGCTTAGCATCATATTTGGTAAATATGACAGTTACTGAAAGACCATCATGAAATCTGGGGCCGCTTCTGGCCCCCTGCTTCTTCAGTACCACTTGTCTTGGAAACCTAAGTTAGAAAGGTATTCCCTTCAAATGCATATTCTAGGCAGAGTAAGAATGAATGAGTTAATTACAGACACTCAGTGACAGTCTACCCAGAAGTCTGCCAGTCTGTCTTCCTGCCTTGTTATTCCTACCTTCTTATCCCTCAATTATATGCAACTTTCAAAGGTCTCTTAAGATATAAAGATTCCAGAAGCTTCCTTGATAATTCATTCTATTTATAATGACTCATGGGATAGCCTGTGGAAGGACAAGAAAGGGGGAGGGGGCACATTCTTTTACTGCAATTTCCCACAACACTCTAAGGTTCTAGTATCTAATAATCCTTACCGTTAGAAAATTCTTCTTTTATCTAAACTTAGACTTTCCTGCTGCTATTGAAGACTACTGTCTAAAAGAATACGGGAAGCAGCTGACCACCGCTAGTTTACAAACAATGATGATCTTCTGTGCCAGTATTTCTCAGTGTGTTCCTCGGGGTATTAGGTTTCCAGGCGACATTAACAGAAATTTCATCAAGACAAGGTTTCATGCTCAAATAAGGCTGGAGAACAATGCATATTATATCTGCCTTTTCAAGATTCATAATGCCCACTAGCATATTAAAGGCTGAAAGAAGTCCGGCAGCAAAGCAGCTGGTTTTTGTTTAACCCTGAACTTCCCAAACACACTAACCATGGAACAAACCAAGACCGTGGGGGTTTTTTTGTCCTTAAAAATTCGTGAGTGACTGGCAGTAGCATGCTGCAGAATGCAATTTGGGAAATGCTACCCTAAATCTATTCAGAGAAACACTTCTTATAAATCCAAAGTCAAGTGGTGGAGACATTTTGTGGAGAGAGGTATTTCATAAAACTAACACATTTCAAGCTGGGCGCGGTGGCTCACGCCTGTAATTCTAGCATTTAGGGAGGCCAAGGTGGGCAGATCACGAGATCAGGAGTTTGAGATCAGCCTGTCCAATATGATGAAAGTCTGTCTCTACTAAAAATAAAAAAAATTAGCCGGGCATAGTGGCAGGCACCTGTAGTCCCAGCTACTTGGGAGGCTGAGGCGGAAGAATTACTCGAACCGGGAGGCAGAGGTTGCAGTGAACTGAGATCATACCACTGCACTCCAGCCTGGGCAACAGAACAAGACTCTGTCTCAAAAAACAAAACAAAAAAAAAACTAACGCATTTCAGAAATGAAGGGATTAAAGTTTACCCGGTTTCCACTGCTTACTCATCTTGAGCCCACCTAAGAATGCACATCTGGCTTGCTTAGGTTTCCATTGTGCCTCCCCAACCCCACCCCAGCCACACTGTCTGACTGGCTGTAACCTTCATACAATGACAGAAGTGGGGGCAGTCCCTCTGGCAGAACAGCTTCTCAGGGGGACCTTGATCATCTTCTTATAAATGTCCCAGGAAGGGATATCCTGAGGATCCCTGCTCCCAACAGAGTCCACTCACATTGTCCCAAACCAGGGAATCAGGGCGAAGGACTGAGAATTGGTACCTGGTAAAGCCACATGGTGGGGCAGAGACCAGTACCAGGTCTTCCACTACTCCAAGTGTGTGTGGCTTTGTGATGGCCCGAAGTTGCATTCTTTGTTCACACACATGGCCTCTCTCTCCAGGGGCCTGTGTGCTTCCAGAAAGCAAAGATGTGTCTGCCTCATTTTTGACCTCCACACTGCATCTAGAGACTGCCTGATACCTAGGAGCTGTTTGGCCAAGGCTGTTATGAGAATGGTTGATTGAAGCTATCTTAATGCCTTGGGGTCTCACTGAGGCTAACTCTAACACCAAGCACACCCTGTCACAGTTCCAGAAGG